AATACCGGTGAGTCAACCAACAGTCTAGATTCTGACGTTGTTGACAGCAGGAGAAACAAAGTATTGAGGGAAAAGATAATCTAGGTGTCAAAGACAGAGAAGCATGCCTGGAGGCCAGAAAACGAGCTGCAGAGAGAATGCTGTAGAACACCAGCCAGCCAGTGTAGAATCAAGGCTAGGGACAGTGAGAGAACAATTGTATGGAAGTACTAGCCCTCTACCAACCTTCCAAGTAAGTTGGGGGTGTCGACCCCTAAAGAAGTTTGCCCTCAACATGCAGGTTTGCTGGAAAAAAGCTAAGTTTCATTTAAGACAAAGGGAGAGAGGACACACATGAAAACAGTTGGGCATATAAAAAAGTTTGATCATTATACAGGCCTAGTGGAAAGGCTAGAAGTAGGACAGTGTGGGGTGCCTGGATAGGCCTGAGTAAAGGAAGTTACTACCATTGGGGCCTGGGATATATTTATATAAACAGATAATAGCATTAAGAGCAAGAAGAGAATAGGAAATAAACTGAAAGCACATTAGTGACTGGAGAAGAGGAATTCTTTACAGGTAGTCCTGTTACTGAGAAATGAGAGTTTACCAACCCTAGAATTTCAGGTAGAGCAATAGCTTGAAAAGGATACTGCAAATTTCCCCAAAGGTCAGTGAAAACTGGAATTCAGTGGTTTCTCAAATTCTCAGTATGGGGAGTGGTGAGGTATAGGAATGACTATGAATCTAAAACTATTTTTTCCCTTAAATTTGCTTGAAATTCTCAAAACTCAACCCCTGGCAATGCTTGGTTATCACCAAGGAAGGTTAAATAAAATTCCTATTTCAATGTATTTCCAAAAGAGTCTTTTGCTAGAACCATAAAATCTAAAACAATTAGCTCAATTTTTATCAACTTTATATTTCTGGCCAGCCAAAAATACTAAAAACAAAGGTCCTAATGATTTGAGAAATGGTTAAAACATGGATACCACCCAAAAAACATGAGAACTAAGAGAGTCCAAAACCAGCATTTTCCACATAAGTCAGTATATGTGGAGTTAACTGTGAAAATTTTCATTTGTAGATATGAAGCAAAAAATAATTCCACACAGTTTTTCAGCCAAGAAAATAATCATTTGAGAGCATAATAAATGCCAACTAGTCCAGAATACCATGCTTCAAAATTCAGGTCACTTAACCTGGCTGGCCTGGTTACCCTCAGCCGTCACTGGTTTAAACTGTTCACTGCGTGCCTTGGAGAGCAGCGTGGGCCAGAGTGATGGGCTGTGACCGTCAGCACCATGCTGCTGAAGCCATGAGAGCCCATCAGGATGAGCAGCTTGGATTTCATACCCTCCCCTGCTCAGACTCTGTAGCCTCCCCACTTACTTTCTCACATTTTCACTTTTCTCTAAAGATGCTGATATTATTAAAAATAAGTATGAGTTCATGGAAAAGATTTCCATGGAACACCTTCTTTTATTGTATCTGTACAATGTAATTTAATTATAACGAATACTAGAAAGCTCAGTTCCAATCTGTCAGAGAAAACAATGTAGCAGATCTTAGGTCCAGAATCTCTGGTGAGTTTCTGAATGATAAGAGGACTGCACTAGGCTCTCGTGCACATCCCACCTTGGGTCGGAAAGTACCCTGAAGTTGTGCAGGCTTTCTTTCCTCACCTACCCTTTCTCTCCCTCAACTCCTCTGTCTTCCCCCTTACCATGTACATATGTCTGTACATATGTATGTACTGACTCTTGTACTGCTATTTCTTTCTTTCTTTCCTTCTTTTCTTTCTTGCCTAGATAAGGCTGTCATAGGCTCAGCCCACTGCCTAAGACAGGAAAAAGAAAGATGTTAACTTGCTCTATTGTCACTGCCTGCCCCCACCTCACTCTCTCAGATCTTTTCACATGCTATATGATCTGACTTGAAAGTAGTTTAGGAGTCTGGGCAGATTTTCTGGAAACAAAGTACACAAAGACAAACTAAAAGACAATTATTTGTTTATGGCAGAAAAAGAGAGCTACAGACACCTCTCTGCATGGATGACTTACCTCTCCATGTTTTAGCTTAAAATATAAACGACACCTCTACCACTATGAAGAACAACTGTTTTTTAGTATTATTCTAGATTATTTATCTTAGTTAGAAAGCTTGCTGTAACTACAGGTTGGGTATGCCTTATCTGAAATGCTTGCGACCAAGAAGCATTTCAGATTTCAATTTTTTTTCAGATTTTGGAACATCTGCAGCATACATACAGGTTAAGCATCCCTACTTTGAAAATCCAAAATCCTATAGGCTCCAATGAGCATTTCCTTTAAAAGTTTCAGATTTTAGAGCATTTCGGATTTTGGATTATGGATGCTCAACCTGTAGTTATTAGCACACCAAAAATATGGAAATTACTTTACTACATGAGGATATTCTTTGTAACAGCACTTGTTTAAAAACATAAGGATGAAATATATAGATGCAATATGAAAACTGCTTCGAAATAATACAAAAGGATGCATAAAATTCATCATGCTGTAAGCTTATTACTTTTGCACTTTTCTGTATGCATATTATACTTCATTAAAAAGTTTACATACAAAGAATAACAGCAGAGGAGGAGGAAGTAAAGAGGGTTACAGCTGAAACAAGATTATCCATGAGCTGACAACTGTTTAAATTGGATGATGAGAGCTCTTCCATTTTTCTATGTGTTTGTGGCCTTTCGTTACAGAAGACGGTTTAAAATACGACCTATAAACCTAAGAAACTCAAGCAAATACAAGATCCAGAAGCATAGTATAAAAACAGTAATCATTAAGACTAGACTCTGATTTAAAATATGGTGTATTAAAAATGAAGAATCAATGTTTCTTTATAACTTTCCTGAAAGTAAAAACAATTTTTCTATGAAAAGTTCTTGGCATATTTATGAAGAAGGACTCTTCAGACTAAGATATAGAGGTGTTCTAATTCTGGTGGAAGTTTTTTCATATTTTGTAAGATACTATAATTAATTTAAGGTTTTAAATATGAGAAAGAAACAATAAAAGCTAATTATTTCCTAAAAACACAGTAAATGAGCTGGTTCTAATATAAGCAAAACTAAGAGTTCCAGGACATCATATGCAATATGTTTGGACATCATTTGCATTAATCCTACTTTATTCATTCTCTTCTCAGGTGTGCCCCACTACCACCACCACTTGTTAAGAATCAATAACATTTATCAAGCTACTATGGAGACAACTAGCAGTTCAAGAAAGACAAAATGTTAAATAGTGATTGCTTCATGCAGAAAAAAACTACTCCTAAAATATACAAGCCTCCCTGGTTTTTCTAATATAAGTCATTTACAGCAGACACCTTTTGTCAAGCAGTTAATGGAGTTTGCCTTTGGAGGGAATATTTTCTACTTAGCTGAAAAACAGAATCGGTTGCATTGGAACACATCGATAAATTCAAATTTGTCTTTAGTTTTTCTTAGAACACCTCACTGCATTCAAAAGAACTGCATATCATTACATACAGGTATTCCCCAACTTAGTGAAGGGCTGTGTTCTAAAAGCTCATCCATAAATCAGCTCTCTAGAACTCAGATCACATTTTCCCACTGAAACTATTTTATAAAGGGTACTCAGGCCATCAGGCCACCCCACAGAAATCTACAAAGCTCAAGTTTATTAAAAGTATTGTGCTTTACTAAAGCACTGTGTTGTTTTTTTTCCAACTAACTACTTTGAACCATTATTTCTTTGGTAAATGCAATAGGGATTCTAGAAATATTCCTCAGTGCTCCATGCGTGCACTGCACACACACACACACACACACACACACACACACACACACATTTTACTGAAGAACACTATGGTTACCTCTGTTGCTCGGATGTGGTGCTCAAATCTAAGCACTTGTAACATGAAATAACGATACATGGCTAACACCAATCAAGCCCCAGAAAAAATACTTCTTCAAATGTCTTGGCTTCTCTACACTAATCAAAAGATTACTCTATCTGAAGTTTCCTGGGGACTTGTGAGTTGTACTGCTGTCAACTTAAGAGAGGATTCCGCTTTGAACATTCCAAGTAAACACACAGAAGCAGTGTTTAGACAAGGGGCTCTTGCATTTGAAGGCTGGGGGAGGTTGGGGTTCTAGAGCTCATTAAAGGGGCAGTGGTCATGGAAGCTTCTGTAGGAACCTACTAGATCTCATAGATACTGTGCAGAGTCTTACAAGCAGATGGTGAATTATAACTTCCACCAGGTTTATCATCCAGAAATATGATTTAAAAAATTAGAAACTTCCTACTAATCACTTTTAATATATATTTTTAAAATGTTTATAAACTCGAAAAACAATAAATTACACATTACTTCTGTGAACTTTAGCTATATCCAAAGCCATAACAAGAATTTCTCCTCCCCAACTGCAGAGACGGGGGGTGGTGTGAGGGGCCTGCACAGCAGCCAGAATGATAGCTTCTCGATAACAGCAACAGGCCCTCCCTCAGCCAGAGAGAGATGTCAGTAGGAGTTTGTGAAAAGCAGTGTGTAAGGAGAGGGCCGCCTATATTTAGTGTCTGCTTTTCTACTCCACCCAAATGCATCTAGATTTCACTGCTTTGAAGATTTTTAAACCACCAAATTGTTTTCATGGATGCAAGTAAAAGGTGTAAAAAATTGCTGAGATAAAGTAATTTCAAATATTTATACTTTCTTGTATGCCTGGTCACCAGACAATTTAAAAGAAAAATACATACGATTCAATACTTGCATAAAACTAGCTACTCTATTATTCAGGCCAAATTTATTGTTGCTTATTTTTTCAAGTTCAGAATTTCATGAGTATACTTCAATTATGCAGTGCTACCATCATAAGATTTTTAATGTATTTTTATAAAGCTCAAATCCAGAAAACGACACAACTTTCCAGAGACCACCATAGAACCATATCAGAACTCAAGAATTCCAGATCCCTCCCAGTCTCAAACTCAGCTGAGGTCTATTCCACTTGCCTGCATAGGTGTTGGCCTTGTTTAGGAGGTCTGTGCAGGCATGCATATCAGCGAAAGCCCGGATTCCTAAACAGTTGACAGGGTGAAGCTGGGATTCCAAAAATTCACAGCAAGTCTTCTTCACATCCTGTAACTGTAACAGACCAGCTGCTGGGAGAAGTACCTGCAAAACACAAGTAAACGTGCTCAGACAATTTGGTTGGGAAAACATCTCTATTTACTGCTTCCACATAGGGTGCAAGAGGTCCAGCCATAGCTTATAATCTCCAGCCACACTGAATATTTCATAGAAAACCAATGCAGCAATTATTTGCAAAAATGGTGATGACTCTTTACATTCCCATAGTTTCCATGGAATCTTTCAAAGGTCTCCTCTTCTTGGTCACAAGAATTTAAGAGAAATCAGATCATATTAGATAAATGGTTCATTTTATAAGAATAAATAAAATGTTCCTTTGAATTTAACAGCCCCGGCATCCACTTCCCCTCATCAAAAAAACACAAATTATTAGTATGCTAAGGTGCTACGGTTAAATGAACATAGTTTTGTTCCCTTAGTTCAAGCAGTCATGAGCCTCAGTTGTTTGTGGGGAAGGGGTGGGCCCAGAGTCATACATACCACAATAAAGCCTTTGCTGAAGACCTGTGTTTCCACTCTCTGAATAACACAACAATCCGCCTTTCTTAGAGGTAGAACAATTTTAAATTCAACAGTCTCTAGCTACAAGCAGACAGTTTCTCTAGAATGTAATATATATGCTAAAAAGGAAAACATACGAGGTAATTACCTAATAATAACTTTTAAATTTGTACTTTTATTTGACCAACTCCAGGCAATTTTATATTAAGTATTAGTTATTCTGTGAGATTTAACCACTATCTTCACTATAAATACTATATCCAACACTGCAACTGCTTTTGAAGTAGGTCAATAATGGAAACATTTTTCCTTGTAAGTGAAGGACCATAACTGAAAGTCAAATTAAGGAGGAAAACATCATTTTAAAAAGTTATTGAACATCTGTTGTTCTTTTATAAAAGCCAAAAGAGAAAAAGAAAAAGAAAAAACTCTCAACTATTTAGAACAATGGTCAATTTTAGAAAAGATCACATTAGCATAAAGAAATAAATAAAACCTTCTAAGTTCCTTCAGGAATTGACTTTCCTATATGCCACACTGCAGTCCAAAGAGAACAGAGAAAAAAACAGTAGTTTATGAATATTGTAGTGGATCGAATTATGTCCCCCCAAAACTCCCTGAGGCTTGAATTGTGTCCCCCAAGTTTTATGTATTAGAAACTTAGCCCCCACTGTGACTGTTAAGAGGGTGTGAAATCCTATTATGGTGATTGAAAGATGGGGCCTTGAAGAGGTGATTAGATTGTAGGACCATAACGCAGTGAATGGATTAAAAATGGTGGTCATAGCGTGGTTTTGAGGGCTTTAAAAGAAGAGAAAGTCTGTCTCTTTCTCTGTACTCTCTGCTCCACCATTTCACAACGTGATACCCTGCACCACTGCCGCTACTACTACCAAGACCCTCACCAAATGTGTTCCCTGGACTTTGGATTTCCCAGCCTCAGAAACTGTAAGCAATAAATTTCGTTTTCTTTCTAAATTACCCAATTCCAGGTATTCTGTTATAAGCAACAGAAACAGACCAATACAAATATCTTTTATGATTTTCCTATACCTGTGTAAATAACATGGAAAAGAAAGAAAGCACTCACATCTCTCTGTAAAACTACTTTTATTTTCTGAAAGGAAGCACAGAGGCTTTAACTCTTGGATCTAAAGGCTGTGTGTTGTGTGCTGGGCGGGTTAAGGGTATGTGTGCACACATACACAATCAGATAGTAATTAACAGAATTAAGGACTAAAAGGGTGATTTTTTTTTTCTGGTGTTTTAGCCCAACTCCACCAACTAATATTAATTTTCTCTAAAAAAAAATGGAAACAGTATGTAACAATAATGTCTTTTCCTTCTGAATTTAAGAGAAAGTGTAAATACTTGTAATGCTGTTATAGCCAAACCTATTGCATAATATATATAGTGTGTTTCATTATGTTACGAGAATGAATCTCTATGGAAGGCTTTAATATGTTGATAACTTTCAAATTGGAGGTTTTCTATTCTGGTATAATTGTGCTCTGAAGCAACGTAAAGTACATTCCAAGATGCTTAATAGTGTAGCCATTTAATTCAGCAAATACGTATGTTTAGAAAGTGGCCCACAGTGGAATATTAAATCTCTATGAAACTTGCACAAATAGTAATGAACACACATCTAATCAGCATTTTCCCAGAGACTACACAGTGTAGTATAGCAGTATTTAAACTCATAACAAGGAAGGGGGGTGGGGGGGGGTGATTGAGCAGAAACAGGCTCACTTGCATGAAGATACCTCAAAAAGTTAATGGAAAGATCCATATTATCTTTTAATTGTATTTTTCCATGAACTTTTTGAAGTTCCCTCATACATTGTTGATGGGAGTATATATTGGTTCAACCTCCATGAAGAACAATTTGTTTATTTCAACGAAAATTACAAATGCACATATCCTCTGACCCAGCATATACACTCATATATGCACAAAATCTCGTATGTGCAAGATAATCATTACAAAATTATTGTGGGTAATCGCAGAAGTTAGAAAAAGCCTAAATGTCTATCATAAGGAGAACGGTTAAATAATTATAATCATCCATTCTATGGAAAACTTTACAGTCATTCAAAAGAAAAAAGAAACTATACAGTTGGGACAATTTCTAAGATATATTCTTAGGTGAAAAACATCAGTAATTGGTACATATGCTAACATAAACACCCACACATATATACACCCATCTAAAAAAGCGGCTATATATAGCAGGCTTTTTAGATTTTATTTTGCTTTGATTTCAACATCATCACTACCAAGTCCAGTTCTACCTTATTAGATTGAAATTCATAAAATTGCAGAATCTCAGATTTGTAAGGGATATAACGAGTCATTTAGGTCAGAGATACAAGAGTTATTTCAATAGTAGTCCATGTGCATAGAAATTCAGATATAATTTTTTATTAATGGCAGTGATGAGTCAAGTTGTTCCACGCTTGGCAAACATATATTAAAAATAACTTTAATGTGAGTCAAATGTATAAAAAGTTTATTCATATTTTTCTTTTGTCAGTAAACCCTTCAAAAAGGCCTCAATTTTATGATGTAATTTTACTAGGACTAAACTTCAGTAGCTCGTAATTATGTAGTTAATTACGTATGGCTTCAAAAATAATTACTAACAGACCCAGCTTGCTAACATGACACCTGGTGACCATCACTCATAATAAAACAGGAAAACAACTGGGACCACACCAAGTTCCTAGTTTATTTTGTGTATTCAACAGCCAGTTAAAACAAAACAAAATAAAAAATGCTCCAATTTCAGATGAACAATATCCATGATCAGAACCACTCAGACAGCTGGCAGCCTGTAAGCTGGATGTCTTGAGATCAAATCAAATCAAACCTTCTTATTTGTCTGATGAAGAAACCAAATCCTAGAGGGGTTAAACAGCTTGATCAAGTCATACAGCCAGTCATGGAAAACTAGGGATATAATCAAATTGACAACCTTTTGGTGTATTGTTCTTTCTAATACCTTCAGCCTCATCTCTAGGTACAAAATGAAAGTGCTTATATAATTTCTAAATCACCCATATTGTGCTTTTCAGCAAGAGTAATAAAGACAACAACCACTTCAACAATGAACTCTTGTAGTTGCTTCCAGTTATTGAGTAATTCTATTTCAGGCACAGTGTTAAGCACTTGGTGGGCAGTAATACCTCACTATCCCCATTATATACAAGTAAATACAGAGGCTGGGAAATGTTGGGTAACTTCCTTTAGGTCACACATCTGGTGGAACAGGTCAAGCCTGCTGTAGGAGCAATATTAACCAAAATAGGTATAATGATTTTAGATGACACAGATAAATATTCTTGTGATAATAGTCAGAAATATATGTTAACAATTAGAAATATATTTTTAAAGTTACCTTCCATTTATTTAAATACTATAAACATTCTCAAGTATATTTATTTAAGCAAAAATTGAGTCAATGTACAAAAAAACATTAAATATTTAATAGCATCAGCAGTTCAGAATACAGCAAAATCATAAGGTAGCACACACATGATTGAAATTTGGAAAGCCCTGATTTGGGAGATCAGATTTCATATTCTAATCTTTCAATATCTGATTTCTCATTCCTGTGGTTTTACATACCACTGAAAAGGAAAAAGGTACTTTAATCTAGGGCTATCGTAATACATATTACATGGCTTATTTTCTGCTGAAGTGGATAAACTGTACTATTGGTAACAATATGAGAAACAGCAATGTAAAGAGGTAATTTATTTTATTTTTTAAATTATTATTTTTAATTGACTTGTAATAATTGTACATATGTATGGGGTACAGAGTGATATTTCAACAATAATTTATTGTATATTTTCAAGTGGCTAAAGAGAAGAGTTCAAATGTTCTCAGCACAAAGAAATGATAAATGTTTGAAGTGATGGATATGCGAATTACTCTGATATGATCATCACACATTGCACACACGTATCAAAGAGGTGATTTTTTTAAATTTTATTTTATTTGTCAATATACAATGTGGTTGATTATTAGAGGTGATTTCTTAATCTGCTATTTATTTAGGTCACAAAATTATCATGGGCATTATAACTCAAAGGTTCAACAAATAAATTTATGTCTTTAAAACTAATTTTTCTGGGCTCTCAAGAGCAAAGGAGCAGTTAAATAGTGCTTCTTATATGAAGTGGAATTACACAGATACAATAAGCCACCAGATACCTAGTATTTTGATCTAATGGAAAATTTCCATTTATCTATGCTTCATTAGAATTAACTCTGAGAATGATGAAAATAAACTCTAAGATCCTGAAACATATTCCAAAACATCAAAGAAAGAGCAATTATAATTTGCTATATATTTTAAATGTTAATAATATATTCTAAGAATCTAAAAGTAATTAAATCCCATATAGTGTATATACTGAGGGAAGGCCTCTCAGGTATGTCCAACCTCGAGGAAAAATGTCAAGTGGGCAGCAAATGTAAAGGGGCCCTCGCCCCTCTTTCCCACATTTTCCTCC